ATTTACAAGCTCGAGCCAGCTTCCAAAAGAGCCAAGAACCTCCCTTCAGTTTGGTCATATGAACATATTAAAATACAGTGGTTGTTTCTCAATTGATTCCTAAAGGACATGCACGGCTTGATAGAACATTCCAATGCAGTACTGCAAAACTGAAAAAACAATCAATCCAGAACTGAAACACAATTAAAACTGTAATTTTAAATCTAACTATGTGCAATTGATAATTAATTGTTCCAAAAAGAAGACCTACACATATGTCATGCACTGTCTCTCCTCTCATATTCTACAGATACACTGTATCTCTTCTCATATTCTTGGGATCTCGCAACCTGCTCATCAGTCCCAGGAACTGTGTGGAGCAGAGCTTCCCACCTGATCTCATTAACGTCTGGGTTTTCGCAGCCTAGCTCTCGGTTAAATTACAGACCTGAACCCTCAGCTGAGTAAACTGTTTGCTTACTTAAAGCTTTTAAATTGTTTTAACGGAGTTCGACAGTGGGGAGCAAACTCATGACAACGCCAGGCAAAGTGGGAATCTGGAGACCGCGTTTCCCAGCAGTCTTTGCCCGCAGCTGTGTCTCCTCCATCTTTATGTGGAGGCAGTATGTGTCCTCAGAGCTACAGTACGCTGTTGTTCCCTCATCCAAGGGGGTTTAATGCCAAATCCAAGTCTCCATACGCTAACCAACTCTAGAGCTCAATACTAGTGTAACTGTATTTAGCTCTGTGCAAAGGTGGTCAAACACTCTGCCTGTAAGGATGGGAACTGGATGGAGACAGATATTCTCTTTTTTTACAGTTTCTTTCTTCAGAGTCACATTTCCACCTGCTGCATTCTGTCTCTCCCTTCCTGATCTTCTGCTTTCCTGGTCACGTTACGTATTGTTACGCAACGGGGGCTCAGGCGGGCGCCCTTGCCGCATTAGGTCGGCCCCCCACCGTCCCAGGACTCCCGCGTCACTCAGCAGGGACCCAGCCCAGTGAGCCAAAGAGAGATCTCCCTACAGCCCAGTAGCTGTGGTCCTGCTATCACAGGGAAGGGCGGTGACGTCACCTGCTTTGGTACGCCGGCTCTTACACAGTGCCTGTCGGCCGTAAGCGTTACACTATATACCAGCAGAAAATAAAGAAATGTAGATTAACGTAAACCTACAGTGTACAACAAACAGAGAAAGCTGTATAGCTCAAATATTTTAAACTGCGCAACTTAATAAAACAGCAGTGACACAGGATGTAAGCTTAGACCAGCTTTAACGAGGAGCTATTACAACCTTTTGAACAGTTGGAGACCTTGAGCCAATCACAAACTTTTATCAAGTAACATGAAATCTGCACTCCTCTAAGATCAGAATGTGGTTTTAGAAAGACCTCAGCAAGCAATGTTCCCAATGTTATTAAGAATGCCATGCTTTGAAGTCAGCAATGTATTTGAACAATTTGGGGTTCAGATAAGTGAGAGCTCAACTGGAAAAAAAGACAAACCGTCATTATTGGGAAGTCCTGGTGCAAAGGTCCTGTCCTGGCAATGGAAAAAAGACATTGTATAAAAGCAAGCAGAACTTTTTTTTTTTTTGCCAAAGCTACATTCTTTACTCTGAACTAGAATGTGATTTGATATTTAATGCAGGGGAGGCAGAATTGTGAAAATATCTGAACATTAATAAGATATGTAGCATGTAACAGTACAGTAACAGAACAGTAACAATGTTACAGAATGGTAACATTGAGGCAGTGTAAACAAGCTGTTGTTACTTTTTGACGATTTTGCAGATGCCGATGCAGGGGGCCCTGGTGACGATGCTGCAAGCATGAAGCAGAAAGAAGAAGCGACGCTGAAAAGATACCAGAGTGTCATCTCACTGGCTTGGCCTGTCTGATAGGAAGAGATCACAAGTCAGTTGAACCCATTAACTGCGAGCACTTCTTCATATCTGCCAAGCTGCAGAAAATCACTTGGCACAAATATTCACTGCTCAAGTGTCAAGCACTTTCAGCTAGACAAGGATCATTCTGGTGCCAGCTTCCATTTAAAACCTCTTAAGCTTGGGGTTGTCATTACATAGTGGACTTTTCCCATATGCATTACAACAAAAATTTCCTTAAGTGCTTTCTTCTGGGTGCTCATGTTTCTCAAGCTCCCCCCTCCACAGCAGTATAATTCCACAGGCGGTTCTAGTTCTCTGACATGCTCTCTGCTTGGCATACTGTACCTACAGTAAGTGGAAATTGTTCCAAGTCTGTGTACAGTATTTCTGAAGAATAACTTGCAAACTGATTTGTACTAATCAGATGTAAGGATGTAAGGTAAGAGACACACAAAGGTTTCCACAATTGCTTTTTTATTGAGAATTTTGTCTTTTCTGAAACACCTCATTTTGATCCACACCATGCTGTTAAATGACAAAGCATTTTTTGACATTTGTGTTCCACTGTGATGTCAAATGAATTTAAGAAAGGTTAAAATGATCAAGGGATCTAATCTGCCCATTATTTTAAGGTTTCCTTCAAGGGAGCCAGCAGCATGGTTTAGAAGCAGTCCTAGTCACAGGTGCCTCTTGCTCACATTCTTAAGTATGTTTCCTTTTATCTTCCAGTTATGCCTTTGTTTTGTAGCAAATATAATCTATCCCTCACTGCAATGATGTCTCGGCAGCCAGTCTCTCTCAGTCCGTCTCATTTTTCTGTTTAACTGAAACACGCTAGCACATTACTGCACAGTCTCACTTTCAATTCAAGAGCCCTACAGTAATTACTGAGTTATAAAAGCCCTGCAAAAATCTGTTCTCTTCAGAGGAGATATGGAATTAAACAAGCTGGATACCTTCTTTAATTTATACAGACAGTTAGCTTAATCATAGGCATTCAGGCAGTTAAGCAGATCGCAAAAGGAAAAGCAGATTAACCGACCGTATCTGTGGCAAGTGTACTTAGCTATTAACTTAAACCTAATATCTTGCATTTTGCTCTATTTTATCATATTTAATGAAATAAAGAATAAATATTTGTGGGGGTGAACCTGAAGTGGAGGAAGGGGTAGGATTTCAATCCCAGGCAATGTCATTTGTTTCTCATAAGGTTCACAGTTCTCAGTGCCAGGGCACAAGGGCACAGTCTTTCTATAAGTATAGCAGCAATATATGTTTCAGAATCTCAGCACCACGGACAGCTCCCATTGCAGTATCGGCAAACATGCTCAGTACATGATAATAATAATAATAATAATAATAATAATAATAATAATTGCTTACGCTTATATAGTGCTTTCTGGACACTCCACTCAAAGCGCTTTACAGGTAATGGGGATCCCCTCCACCACCACCAATGTGCAGCCCCACCTTGATGATGCGACGGCAGCCATAGTGCGCCAGAACGCTCCCCACACACCAGCTATCAGTGGGGAGGAGAGCAGAGTAATGTAGCCAATTTATAGAAGGGATTATTAGGAGGTCATGATTGGTAAGGGCCAATGGGAAATTTGGCCAGGAAGCCGGGGTAATCAATTACATCTGAAAAATGCACGTGACAAAATACATTTTATTCAGAATAAAGTTCAGTGAACACACAATGGAATGGTGGTGTACCTTAACCATATTCTCCTCAGACTGGTCAGTCTGATTCTGACCCTTGGTTTCCAGCCCAAACTTCTCAGTTAGATGACACCATAGTGGCTTGAAGGCAAAACACTATAGATTTGGAATAGCAGGTCCTTCCTGAAGTAGTTATCTGTCCTACCAATACCTGTGACCCCACTGGGATAGTTGCTGTTCTCTTCTTGCCCAGGGTCCAATGGAGACACCCAAGTCTGTACTCTGTACTCTGTTAAGGTACAGGGATGACAAGATCCGTTCTGTTCAGAGTCTGCCCTACTCTGGGTTCTCCTCAACTGTTGCAGTGGGCTGCCTCTACCTCTCTCACCTTCTCTGCTAAGTAACCATGTGACCCTGCAGGACCTCATACTGCTGGGGTCTCCTTCACAACCGCCATTGACAAACCAGCTACTCTTCAATACCCCCAATGAAATGAGGAGCATCCACAAGCATCCAGCCACGATAGACTTTTATGTGTCTTTCTATTAAATACAGAAAATGCATTTTATACTTCTTTAATCATTTCTTAATGTTTTCATCATCATGTGCATTCTACAGCAACCATGGTAGGCATTTGAAGTTTTATTATTTTAAATGGATTGTGTTTAATTTCAGTATTTAACAAGGTTCAAAAGCAGGTCCGTCTGAGGTTATTAATTGTAGTTAAAGATAAGGGAATCTGGCTGACCAATATTAAGGCAAGCATGGAAGTTGGCAACATGATGATGAATAGAGATACTGGAAAGAAATCAGTCGATCACTGAACCCTGGGGGACGAAGAGAATCACATTGCATGACAGCTGTAAAGAGTTAAAGGAATTGTGGACAAGAAGGCTTCATTCTTTAGAGACTGGTAGATCTGGACTAAGATTCCAATTAAAGGGTTATCTACTTGGAGGCTCTTGACTATACCATATGAAGGAAGATGATCTGGGAAGGAGGCCAGCACTGCGAGACCTAAAAGTATCGAATTAAAGAAGCAAAATAAGAGCATCTCAAAGAGCTCAGTGCGATTGAAAGCCACAGGGCATGACCAGATGTCACTGGAGACACCATCTGCTCCACCTGCCAAAAAGTGCAGTGCCCCCTATAGGCACATTGGTCAACTACAGGTTTATGACCAATAAAGAAGGTCATAGGAACCTGTCTTAGGAAGACAGTCGCCCTGTGCAGCAAAAGACTGCCAGTGAATGAATGAAATGTACCAAATGATGTGGGCTACATTCAATTAGCTGGTTTTTAATTGGAAAAAAGAATTACATGCTATGGTGAATTACTGCTTACACAAAGCGAATGCACTTAAACAGAGCTCATACAAAAGAAACAGTCTTTGGAATCAATTACTGTCTTACACATTAATTGGTTTGGGGGTTTGGACAAGTTTCTCTCCAGCTCTGGTCTCAAAGCATGAAACATTCCAGATCTGTGGGCAGCGTTTGTGTCAGGCCAATCAGAGTTTTCCCACTGCAGGCTCTTGACAGCACGAGCAAGAATACGACCGCACATTTTCTGTAAAGTGCTTTCAGGATCTCAGGATTTGTAGATAACTCCATCCCCCCTCAGAAGGCCAACTGGAAGCATTTCAGAGAATGTGTGTGTGTGTGGGGGGGGGGGGTGGTACTGCAGCCTGTTTTATATATAAAACTGCTTGAATTAAGCAAATAGCTCAAGCATAACAAAAAGAGCCAGATCACATTTCAATATCATTTATATTGTACATGTAAATTTACAAATGGACATGCAGTCCCATGGGCAAGTCCAATCCCAGCATCTACCTTTAATTAAAATACTCATGTATGGTGTTTATGATATGGCCACTATCCATATTCAGCTTGTTAGTGGTTAGCTTTGAAAAACATGCCATGACTCATACTTGGCTCATAAAGTCATACATGATATGATAACAGGCGTTAATAAAAATTATTCTTTTTCATTTCTTTTCAATTACCATGCATTTAAGGCTGTAATTAGTATTAACCACGACTGAACACTAAGTCACACAGTATTGCCGCTTAAGGCAGAGGCTGCAGCAGGTACGATATTCACCATGCTTATTATTGTCGTTCTTATTACATTGCACAGTGGTTCTCTATACGGCGCAGGAAAAAAAAACCGCTCGTTTTTTTTAAAAAACACGTTCCTGGCAAGTTTTCTTTTTTTTTCTGTGCACAAATATGGATCAACCAGCGCATTTCAAAAGTACAGTAGAATTTCAGCACACGTGACTGAAAGTGTGCCGATTTATATGCAGATACGAGGGCATCCCCTCCCTCTGCACATCGAGATAATGTCTCTCTCTCCCGCCGTCTCTGGGTACAAGCGCGCAAAACCGGACCTTCGTTTTCGCTAAAAATTAAAATCGAACCCTCTGTTCGTTTATTCAGCGTTTTAATAGACGCCGATGATAGATTCTCAAATACGCATCTGATGGGATGGCTCTGAACTAGCTGGGTGACAGGTTCGCCTGGGGATGGGAGCAGTGCCCCGCAGCGACTGCGGTACAGTGTTATTAGGAGAGGAAAGGAGCGCGAGGCTGGGAGTGCCAGGAGAACTTGCGCGCGCTGAGGTGCTCTTCAGCCAGGCTCGCCCTCGCCTTCCAGGGCTGGTCCGACGGATTGCTGCACATCCTTCCCTCTATCCGTCACAGGCTGCGCTCCTCGGCGAGGAATGACGAGGACCGTCATCGGAAACGCTGCGAGCAGATACGCATAGGCTTCGGTGCCTACTGTACATGGGCTTCGCCTTCTTCTGGGATTAAAGAAAACGGGCGCCGAAGATGCATTTGGTTTACAACACACACTGAAAGAAAGAGCACGTCTTCCCCTGGATCTGCCTTCTAATCAACGAGAAATACACTCTGTCCTCTACGTTTGGACTTACAAAAGTTCAAGGTTAATGTCACGATTTGATGAGAGCCTTATCGGAGACGCTGGGCTGTTGTAGCGTTTAAATTCTTTGAACACCCCTGATTCTCAACTTGCATTTTTTTTTTAAATCTTTGAACGTCCTACCCAATACGGAATATATCTTTGTCCCGCTATGGCACTTTCTGTGGTGATTTCTTAAACGCATCTTTTTTATCGTTGTTCTTAACTAGGAGGAGGGTGACTGGCGAAGCATCGCCCGGTTGCACTGAAGCTACTGGACAAGGACAAGGCAACCCGTCCGAGAGACAGTTTGCAGTTCTCACGCAGCCTGCCGTGTGCAATGATTAACTGAAGCCGACAGCGAGACACGGCTCGGGCGTACATTGCTTTGCTCCTCGTCTTTTCGGGAAGCGAGTTGTTGTTAGAGAGGCAAGCCTCCGCGGGCAGGTACAGTACGCGCATTTGAATCCCGCCGTGAATCTCAGCATTGTATGCCTCTACAAACCAACTCCGATGCCAGTCCTTCTCTCGCGCCGCGTTACAGCACCCTGCGCTGCTCCCGGCTGCAGCTCTGAGTGGGTACAGCAGAACCTCTCGCAGTAAGAGACGCGTCTACACTGGGCGCTGTAAAGCAGCCCTCGCTCGACCTGGGGACAGTCCCTGCAGCACGGAGGATCTTCGGGAGTGGGGTGCGGAAGGTAAGCGGCTTGCTTGATTCACGCTGTGCCTGTCTGCGACCGCCAAACTGCAGAAAGTACTCCGCGCTGGTGCCAGCGCGTCTGTTGTCTGTGGTACGCTGGCCTTAATTTAACTGCCCGCGCTCGGCGCTTCACTTTGTAGGAAACCAAAATCACAATCACCTTGAAAGAGAGACCCCCCTCTGTATGCATCTGTCCTGCAGTTCGGAACAATATTTGTTTTAATGTATGGAGGTTTGTTTTGCGTTACGAAAATGTTACGGTCATCCATAATGTGCCCCGATACATAAAGTACAAAGGAGCTAAGAATGGCTGTTTCACAGCACTTAAAATAAAGGTAATGTAGAATATCTCATTTTAACCCTTCTTAGCTAATTTTAATATCTATCCGTGATAATTTACCCCGGAATTTTGTACAGCGATATATTGTAGCTAATTATTAGCTATCTCAAGGATCATTTTTCATGTTTTCTAAGCATATGCTCACTATCTGCTCGAAAATGATATTAAAAAAACAAACGTTAAGAATAACGGAAATTATTTTCGTATACAGCGATCGATCTATAAAAAGGAGAATCAAACTGAGGATCCGGTAAAGTTTTGATGATTAATTTGAATGTATTCGTTTCTGTTGGGCGAGATTCATACATATTTTAAATACATTTTGTAGACAGTGGGTGCATCTTTGTCTTCTTATAGATGTGTGTAGTGCCCTTTGAGTCTGTCCTTCCTGTTTTCCCAAAAATGGGCAAAATAGTTATCTGTGAATTCATGAATACTTGTATGTGTATATTTGGAGTGTCAACTTACAGTTACGTGGTCTTCTCCTTTCGGCCGTACGGTATAGCATACGGAATGGAAGAGAAACGTTTTAGATCTCTAGAGGAAACATTCAATTGAAATGCGTCTTGGAATCAGCAAGAGGCAATGCCTGAATGAGGATCTGGACTCTGTCAGTGATATTGCAGCATAAGGTTTGAGGTACGGTAGTAAAAAAGTGAAGCACTGCTAGTATTCTCTTCATTGTGGTAGTACAGCCGTTTCAGCACCAGGGACAGTTCCCGGTCCAGTTGGTGTCTATGGATGTGTTGGACGTGTGATGCCTGTTTTCGGTTGTCTTTTTTATGTGTTCGGGGTTCTCAGTAGTTAAGGAAACGAATGCCTTCAGACAGCTAAAATGTTTGCGCTGGTTTTCGGCTTTCATGTCTCTGTCGGTACCTTTGGGAGCCACATCCTGACTACGTGACAGAATTCGAAGTGATTCATGAATTTACAGCTCCGTTCTGTTCTCTTAGGTAATAGAAACAGATCGAGACCGAAAAAAAAAACCCAGCACGACCGACGCAAACAAATAATTAATCTATTAAAGCTGGTTTTGATTCGATTCTTTGGGTCATTTGGCTGGTTGTTTAGCACAAGCAACTTGAATGAATCAATTGTTATCATCACCGTCAAAAGCAGCAGTTAAAAAAAAATCCAGAAATATGATCATTTTCTGTAGGCTAGTGGATAGAAATGTATTTATGTTACAAAGCTGTCAAAATCCGTTATTTTGATCAAGAAAGACATAAATGCCATACATTAATTTATACAGATGTCTGCTGATATATACCTTTGTCAATTACATTCAATCCCAAACATACACAAGGGCAGACACATGCATTGACTCAGACAGGCACAAATATCTTATATATTAATGCAAAAGGGTAGTGTTACATTTGTTCTGTTAAACATGAAAGAATTCAATATTAGCATCTAGCAGTCTCCCGCCGTTTGAATTACTGGTAGGGAGGGTCTGCTACTCGAGAATTCACTGGTACGATCAAAGAAAATGGGGATCAGGAGACTTTGGGACGACAGTAACAGCAGCTGAGCAATAATTACATAATTCCAACATCCAAGATGGAAAAAATCTGGCAGGAAACGTTTCAGCTTTACAGATGAAAAAAGGGAGAGAGAAGACATTCCGAATTCCCTGAGCCTGGAATCCATTTATTTTAGTATTTCTTAAGATCTGATTATGGAGTCTCTGAAAATTATTTATGAACTGCATTTGTGGAGGGCCTGACAGGTATAATAAGACCCTAAGGGCACACCATGCTCAATAAAGATGAAATTATTGTGAAGATATATTTTTTATCTGTCAAGGCTGATCTGGCTCTGTGCCATGTATCCAATGTAAAGCGTACTATCTTCCCAAAGGAGGGCGAATGTTCCTGACGAATGAGCTATTGACTCTGGAATTATACAGCCATAGCCTACTTTGTGGGAACGTCCAGACTCAGCTGCTTCTGAAACAGGGAGGCATCTCAAGTGCAATGTGAGCAACTTGTACATTCAACATTATGACAAGTAAATTACAGTGGTTACTGCATGGCAGTAATCTCAAAATCCAATGCAATCCCAAGGCAAAGTCATTCCCTGATATGATGTATGACTTCACCAGTATTAAATGTATTAGCTTTTTTATTTGTCAGTCAAATTCAATGCAATATATCTCAGCAGAATGTGTGTGTGTGGGTGGGGTTAAATAAAACACTATTCTCATTCCACAGCTACAATTGGAGAAGTTGGACCACTTACCTGTTCTGACAGGTTTATATGCATACGTGTTTGAACAGCTGCACAGCTCAGTGCTCTTTACAACCAGACAGCCAGCATGAATCTACAGTCTTTCAACAGCAATGGAACAAAAATTGAGATGCAGGTTTTAAAAATCAGAGAAGCAACACTTTGTCTGCTGGCTAACAAATGAGGCTTTTGGACAGTGCGTATTGGGTATGACCCATCGCTACAGATCTTCAGGGTGTTTCTTGCAATCATTGGGTTGCCGTTGCTGAAGCGATTTAGCCTTCATCCTCACAGTCTACCTGTTCACCTGAGACTGCAGTGATTTCATCAGTACTGCACACTCAGCCTGGTGTTACAGCTTTCTCAAACACAGCATAGGGACTGCACAAAGAAACAGCATGCATGATCCTTTCTTTGGCCATGTTATACATGTGGCTATTTTAAGAAAAAGCTCTGATATTCTTTAACTGTTGAACCTCTGCTCATCATTCACTTTGTAAGCATGTTCAAATAAATTAAATAGTCTTGTCCCCAGAGCCCCAGAACTGTACAGAGACTGATGAAGTGGTAGAGATCACCTGTTTAGCCCCACACTGAGGCTTGCTTGCTATAGCTCTCAGTGCGCCTGAACTGATCTTTCAGCCTTCAAAAATTAAAAAGCCAAACATGAGTTCACAGAATATATCTAGTAAGCGATCTATATAGGATAAGTCAATAAGTAAAGTGCACTTGTAAATTGTCAAATCAGTAGCTTTGCAGGTGGGGAAGAGTGATTTCTTTTTTGTTTAGGGAGTCTCCTTTAGTATTCCTTCACCAGGTGATGGAAGTCTCATGATGACAGGATATTGTTCGGTCCCTGAGCTATTCCTGCACGGTCACTTGGAGCTCTTCATCGCTGAAGTTCCAGCCTCCAAGAGCTTCCTTTATCAAGCCAAACCACTGGTGGGGCAACAGCTCGTGCCTAAGCCCATTAAATCACCACATTGTAGCCCACACAGTGCTCAGAAAGATAGGGGTGGAATGTGCTCCATGATGCTTTGTTACTATTGCTGTTCAATGGCTCTTGCAGAAATGCAGAACGCTTGGCTCTGCTTCCTGTTTCACGGTGCAAACCGCAACAAGTGACCAGAATACTCTCATTCTCCTGACACCTGGTCATGACTCAAACTTCTCGCGGTGTTGGTGACGGTTTTCAGATTAACATCTGTTTGACCTGAGTGTTTCCCAGGAATGTCTCAGGGACCAACCAGCATCATTTCATTCCGAGGAGAGGACATCTCAAATCTTGTGACGAAGTGTCGCAGAAGTGTGTGGGGATTCTGCTGAAACTGAAAACACTCATGAGCTACAGTATCTGGTGGATTCTTCACATTTTTTTAATTTACTTAGTTTTGGATGTGAATGTGTATAATATACTTCTTTGGACACACTATTAAGATATTGCTTGATTTTTGGAGACAGGATAGACTTAGTTCCCTGTAATCCACACATCTTCTATGTGTCTGGGGTAGTTATATATCAGGTAGGTGCTGACTGTGACTGGGATTCCCAAGTCATCAGAGCACAACTGGCTGAATGCTGAATTTCCAGGCATGTCCCAATGGGTACTGATTCAGGATTCATCTCCTGGATGCCCTGGAAACTTTTGGGAATCCCCTAGGGGAAAGGAAGAAAAAGATGTCTGGTTCTTCCTACTCAAGCCTCACGGACTGCAAATTGAAGGATCAAATCCGATCACATATCCTCAGGCTATTCCTATGGTATCAAACTAAAAATAGCGATTCTCTTTCGAGCCACAACTTGCTTACGCAAAGTTTCACATACGGTTGGTTCACCACAGAAGGTATCGTACCTCACCTAGAAAGACTGACAGCTAGTGTTGGTGTGAAATGGATAATTGCACAGCTAAATGAAATAGTGGAGACAAATTAATAAATGATTTCATCCGCAGAAAAATACACGTTTGCTCTTTTAATAGTGGCTGTGTGTTTGGGGTTAATCTGATCCAAACCGCAGCAATAATTTACACAAACATGAAATAGAAAATTAATGGAAGCAGGCCTACTGAGTTTTTTTTTTCACTTGACAAGAAGCACATCATTGCTGTGAAGCCGCCAGGGTTGTAATCATTGCTGCTAACCTTCTGAGTCTGATACGTAACAAATAGTAACTGTCACATTGTTACATAATAATGCCTCAACAATTAGCAAGTCTCTGTAAGGGTGCAGATGAAAAAAGAATCGAATCCTTTGAAACACCAAACACTTGTTATGAATGAGCCAGCTGTTCTCTGGCTCATTTTAATTGTATTTTTCATAGTTCAGGGGCCCTGCGAAAAACACATGCATTGATCACTCTAGGACACAGCTGCGTACAGGGTGCTGGGGAGATCTGGGGTTTGAGTCATACAAAGGTTCTGTCACCATGAG